GAAAACCATTTAAGAGAACCCACAATATATTCAAGTACGCTAAGTTCACTTAGCGTCGATCGTCCAAAAACCAAAGAAATCTGTTCCTTCAAAAAGAGAGTAACTTATCGTAAGGGCTGCATGCAGACTTCCATCTAAATACGCACCGATTAGCTTGCCTACTGAGAGGTTACTGTAAGTTTGACTTCGAAAATGCGACTCTATTCGCCGCGTTAAGGATATTCCATTATTGTGTTATTTTTACAATAAATCACAATGAGCGGTGCTTAAGAAGGAAATTTGGGCAATAAAAAGATTGGGTTTCTCGTGCTTACGCGTTATGATTTCTATCAGGGTCCAAGGTCTCAAGATCGAGCGCAAAGTTCTCGCGCTAGTGGCGCCGCTGAGAGGCAAATCGCTCAACCTTTCGCCCTTTCTTTATAAACTAAACAAGCGAAGAAGAAAAGAAAGAATCACGGAACAACAGAAGTAATTGTTTTATTGTCTGAACAAAAGGCTGACACTAGAAGAGAAGAGGGAAACTTTTCAAATGATTAGCACGCGCATTGTAAAACTATATTTCACCCGTCTGTCCCGTGCGAGGAGCTATGTTTCGTGACTTGGGCGTGGGGGCTCGTGAAAGAGCTCGCTTTATCAAGCGTCATAATCATCGGCGACGACAGAAGTTGGGCGCTAAGCCAGTGAAAATGCAGTTCAGTCCCCCAGGAGGTTCAAACCACAACACTCCTTTATCTTGCGCCGTTTTCCCGAAGTGTATTTATTTATCTCGTCCATTTTTCACACAAAAGCACCGTAATTCACAGGTATCTTGGGCTTTTGTTTCGCGCTCGCATCTCTTTAAATAAAGCAATTAAAGCACAAAAGAAGCATTGTGCGCTTTCAATAGCATTTATCAAGAAAGCACATGTCAAAACACATGTTAACAGCAGCTACTATTTTGGGGTTTGAAGCACGCAAAATGGAGTGAAAAGAATTAAATGGATCGATTCGATTGATGCTTACACAGTTGGAACCTGTGTGAGCACCTATTGACATGTTTTTACAACGTTGAAGAAAACCAGCTTCAAAAATAAGTAAAGATAATCAAGGGAGATTGATTGAAAAAGCAAAATGAACTTTGAAGCTCAGAGGGAGTAGTTATGCTTTCCGCTTTGCCCACGCAGATAAAATTATTCACACGAGAAAGCTGGATTTGCGACGGAAGAGCATGAGTGGGTGTTTCACGGAGAACGGATTGGCTAGAAAATTCGCTGGTTTTCTAACAAACGACAAAATATATTTAGGGGAGACTTCAGGTCTGGATTTTAAGGCTACGGTAACACGATGCTTTTAACCAGTCGGGTTTTGTGTATTCAATTGAGTGGTAATAGCGGAAGCCTAAGGAAGCCACATGATCATATCTGTAATCCGAGTATCCTTTTTCGCCATTCCCGCAAACAAACAAATGTCCCGAAGTGATAAGCGAAGAGGTAATACACCCTTGCGATTCACGAACTCCAACGCGGCGGAACCGGCCTTCGAGACCAATAACAAAAATTAAACCTTAAGAGAATGAAAGAAAAACACATTTATCTGTCTTGGTCATTTGTTTATTCGCGTTAAACGTCTAATGCTTTTTTGTTTTTTGAAGACAGTTGGTAAGTTTGCTCGCTGCATTCCCTCTATTGACGCAGTTAGAGCGGTTACATGGCTTCACGATAGCCCTGCACATGTGCCCTACACTACTACAAAAATACTGATGTCATACTTTTTGAAAAGAAAGGCAAGAGATGTAAGTTCTCTAGCTTGTTTTCGAAAGTGTTTTCAAGTTTTATGTCAAAGGAGCGGAACTCACATAAGCGCGCCTGAAACAATAAGAAGTTAATGCCGGTATACAAAATAAATAATAAGAATGCGGTAAGACTGAAACACGAATTTTTCTCATCAACTTCGATTAATTCGCTCTGGGTATTTACTTTACTTCTACATATACAAAATTCCAGTAGACAATGTGATATTAAATCATACGAATTGTTTCCAGACGGCGCCTGTCAAGGCTTAATAGGCCGGTACAAAACACAGCAACTGAACGTAACAGTAAGCGCTGATTTCACCTTCTTTTCTTCATGCACCCGTTCAGCGGATTTTGTAAATGTTTACATTTGCTAAACCTTCCTTCAATGAGAAATCGTTCCTTATGTTATTTTCTTTTACCGTAGCCGCCTTGGCAAACAGATTTTCGAACAGTATCCTGTTTGCTTACATCGGTGTCTTCAACACCAATCCCTTACGATAAATTTATTTTACGAGATACAGTGCGGCAGATTAAAAGAAACAGTAAAGAAATTTACATACAAACATTTTGATTGCAACTGAGAGTAAGGAAAATCTTAAACTTTTAAGGCGCAGTCTTTGCGAAAGGCTTTGAAAAAATCACGAGATTTCAAACTTAGATAAATGATTTTGGTGATTGTCTTTTCCAACTAAGCATGTAAACACATTGGAAATCACTCAATGCAGAAAAAGAAAGAGGGAAAAAATTACTTGTTTCATGTAGTTACTGCGATTCGTTCAATCAGACCCAACATTGCTGAGCCAGACAATAGACTTAACTTCGATTCCCCAGCCGGTATATTTATCTATATCCAGTGTTCTTCCCTCGTGTCTGCGGTTAACCTGATAAACATTATTGATATGTAAGAAGAAAAAATAGCCGTGAAAGAACCCAAGATTCTCTTATAAGCGATAGATGGTGGTGAAAACAAGGAAAAAATAATAACATCTCAACCATTGATAGATAAGAAAAAAATCGAGAAACTGACGCCTACATGATTGCGCAAAAGTTCAAGATAATTCGATATCAAGTAGGAAATCAAGAAAGCTTTCATTTCTGTTATGTACGCACAACAATAAATCCACATTGTAAGTGTTGGACAGATATACCATACTCTGCTATAACTAAAATAGTTTTTCAGTCCATTATTGATTTATTCAAGTACAACAAGAGCAGAGTTCATTGGCTCAAGCAAGACCATTTTTTCCTTTTATTTCTTTCTTTTTTTGGCATCTACATTTTTTTTATGGTTTCAGCACGTTTATAGCATTTCCTACAACCTCAATGAAACAGCGCCTTTAGACCAGTAACCGCGAAGGTAAAGTTTCTGATGACAACTCCTGAAATCCATGTGAAAAAGGTGTTGCTTTTCAGAGACCGTTCATAGGACAGACTGCAGTGTACTGTAAGACTGCTCATTTTTTCCTAATAAAAGTTGAAAAAAATTTTTGCAAAGCAGCCCAGAGTTTTCTTGTGGTACGTGAGTTTATAGGTGTTTAACTAGCGATTTAAAATACTAGCCCCGTATTTGTGTAGGGGACACCCGCTTTTTTCCTAACAACGTTAATATCAAGAAAAAACACAAAACATTGAATAGGATAATGGCCATGGGAGCAAAATGAATTTTGGCTCGAATAGATAATAAGAAGCAGACGAGTTACCATGAGATTTGTTTGCTACAAACAATGGACGAGATTTTAGTCGTACAATCAACATTAAATTCACATTTGTGATGGTAAGTATTGAATAATATAAATTATTCACTATTAGTGCGTTTTTGAAACGAAGAGGGAATTTTTCTTCAACTAATTCTATTTATGCCATAATCGAATGCAGCATTACACCGCTATCAAAAAGAAAAAAAAAAAATAGAGCAAGTTTTCTTTTCAAAGTAACCGCTAACAATCCTCTTTTATCTATGAAAACTCAAACAGAATACCCAAAATGTTAACATGGACAAATCCGCCACCCTTGTTTAAAAAAACTTGAAAGCTGTTATCCGGCATGTTTAAGAACTTTTTGTTGCGTGGCAATTGAACGACAATCGCGACCGTAAAATAACCTTAATCAATGACTTTTTCCCTTCACAGTTTTATTACGATAGTAAAATATTTACAATGGGAAACGAAATGTAATCTACAACATTCCCCTTTTTAAAAATTGGTAACCAGGATGAAATTACAACATAACGCTTAACGAAAAGGTGTCATTTTTTGTGAGTAAGCTTCAAAGAAAAACAAACTTTAATTTTGAAAATGCAAAAGATGTTATTTGCTCAGTGTCCCTCCTCTTTTTCATCAAGTACAAAAACACAATATCTCACTGATTCCTTTTGTTAGGTTGTACTTAAGAGTTTCTGTAAGCTTTGCTCACCTTTGGCGAACAAGCACAGGCGTAGATGACAATAACTGCAAAGGATACACTCGTCATCCTTGTCAGTCTGTCCCGCGCAAAATTCTCGAAAATAAGACAGGTTACCACGACAGCAAACCATTTTCAATAGCACACTACCCTTTCCTTTTCAAACAAGATATTAGGACATGATTTGTCTCTGTGGACAATCAATCTTCAGTTTACAAGGGTCGTGACATGAGAAATTATGACATCCCACTATTTGCCATGCCTCTTTGGATATCATCGAACAGCACGTGTCCGTCGGGAGATAACTCTCTATATCAAAGGCCTGTCAATGTCACTGGTAGAATCTTAAAAAAAATGTAAATGAGCAGAGTACCAGTAAAGATCACTTAATAAAACAAGATAGGCGTTTTATATTTTACATTCTGCTCTTTCTGCTACAGCTTTGATTTTGTGTCTAGCTGCATTCTTTCAGAAAAAAAAAGAAAAATAAAAAGAATGTCCATCCTAATGATGGCAAAATCAAAGACGTCTTTCATTTTCATGATTTAATTCCCAGGAAAAGAACGGGAGAAAAAAAAACTGACAAAACAAAACAGTATGCCTATCAAGCTCTGTAAAAGATCAAAAGATTCGGTCTTTCTTTAGTTCTAAGTTAAGTCGGAAAATGGCATGAATCTTTGATTTTACAAACTTCTAGTTCGAGAACTATTAAGATTTCTGTTCAGCAGAGGGGATTACTTGAATGTCAATTAAACTAGGCAGAATAAGTGAGTGTCTCAATTTATTTTTTCTTTTTCGGTACATCTGGTATACTTTTTATTGCATACTTACTCCTTAACGTTTACAACAATCATTCTTAATGCAAGATCGGCGGATTCCATGCATTGATGCCCCATCAACTAATGAGTCGGGCAAGAAAATTTTAAATGAGAAAAGAGGATTCGCATCGATGAAGAAAATCAACTTAAGTAATGATCAATTTCCTAAGGTTCTGCTTTGGATAGAAAATTAAATAGGAGAGTAAAATGTTGACTATGTGCTTTTTCAAATGCGAAATAACGAAGGTTACTCCAAATTGAAGCACGCATCATTAACCATAAAACTAACAAGGCGAGAGGAACCAAAGTTAAAAAGTGCCAATCAAGGAAAAAACGAGGCACTTTGTGGCAAAATTAACTTAATTTAGAGTTAGAATTTATCAAAATACTGGCATCTTTCCAAAATACAAACACAAATGGGCTAGAAGTAGCTGGAGGATTTTTACATTTAGCTGACAGAAATGTCTACAGTGATTAATTTTCATTTACCCACAGGAACAGATCCTGTCGAGGTTGGTCGTCTTTGCTGAAAAATAATTAGCCAAAAATAGATTAAAGAGAATCAGCTCTTCTCGGGTTCAAATCGAGGATCATGCAAGATTTCCGTAGTCTTTTGCTTTATAAATCAAGAGATACAGAATGGCATAAACCGTAGCGGGGAATGGTCACGAGTTTTCTAAAATTCAATTGACTCTTGCCTTTTGGCCCATGAAATCGAGACTGTACAGTTGGTATTGTCGGTTTGCTTAGATTTATTTCCACTTCATTGTTTCGTGACGATTTTGCGAAAATAGAACCGCTTGGTATAGAATATATTTTACTCACTTGACTTGTGTCTAAAAATCACATCTATCTTTAAATGCATGTTGACACTTTTACGTACGCTAATTACAGATGAACAGGTTGTCTTATTTGTAAACCTAAAATTTTCGCTCTTTTTCTTCTTTGATGAGGCAGTTTGACCTGAAAAAAGAGCTACTTCGAAAGGGAAAATTGATAATTGCGAAAACGTGCCATTTCCCTTAGAAGTTTAAGAAGAATTGGATGACGAAATCGGAAACAAAGAATACTGGGAAGGATATTGTTAAAAGACAGTTGATACTGACGACCTGATATGAAATGAAATTTTATACTAATGCCATGCACGACAGGGGAGAAAAATAAACAGCAAAACAGCGGACAAAAATTTATTAGAAGAAAAAAATTCTTTGCTAGCTACGAAATAACAAATGAGAAGTTTGTATTAAATAGTGTCGAGTTTCGTAAAGTATAATGTGGCATGGCAGTGATTAAATCTACGTCTGATGATTTCTGTCGGCAAACAAATGCGTTTTAATTGATGTGCTTTTATGCTGTGATCATTTCGGGATCGGAATGATTTTAAAAACGTTCACTTAAATTCATTAATTTCAAATTTCCGCTCAATGAAACGTTAAACGACCAAGAGCTACGAATTCATACAAGAAGCTCTGCTCACTAACCATTGCGCGTGACGTTTCAGGTTGAAAGCAAATCCCTCAAGGGCTATGAAGGCAGATAAAACCAAAAGGAGCAAATACCCAGTCGCCTTTGTAAGCACGAGCCAACTAAAAGAAATATTAAAAAAATAATGAAAAGAAATTGTACAAATAAAAGTTCCATCAGTAATACCAGTAGGTTTGAAAAGGCATTAAATTCGAATATTCTCCACGATAAATTTTGTCCTGGGAGTATGACAATAAAACACTTGGAATTAAGAACCATTTCGTAGGGTTTTTAAACTCAGTTTTAACTATTATCACATAAGTCCATTGTCTTAAAGTAAAAGCAAGTTGATGTCTGCCATACAAAATTAACTTAAAAATCGATCTGAACTTTATACTTACATCAATTACTTAGGCAAGGCTTGCCTCTATCACAACAAACGAGCCACACGAATGATCATTTATAAAATGGTAATAGGTCTTCGTGGACAAATGACCGAGTTACTGCAGCAATTAGTTAAACCGTTGACTCATTCGGCTCATTCACGCAGATCTACGCAGACAACATGCTTCTTTTGTTTCCAAAATGACTCTCTTTTCTATTGAAAATCGTCCCCAACTCTTTAATAATGACAAGATATTCGTCAGACATTGAAGAACTACTAAAAAAATCAATTTGTATATAAATTACACAGGTACCAGTCAATAGGTCGTTGTTCATGTTTTCCAACTGAATTTCTCTGATTGACTCTAATGGAATAGCTTTTCAACAAGTCTCCAACTTTGAGGTGCCTTGCCTTAAAAGAAGGCTATCTCCTCACCCACCAATCGATCTAGAAAGACAGCCTAGAGGGGCATACTTCAAAAGAGTCGGAGCCGATGTATGTGTCTTTTAAATTTTAATTTACTAACGAGGATAAATCTGTTCAATTCTACATGAAACATTCGTACAAAATGGCCGGAAGGGGAATAAACTTCAGCTATTAATCTCTTCTTTGAGTCAAATCACTAATAAATTTAATGCAATGGAGTCGTTTCTCGTGACGATCATAAAGAATGGGCAGTGTTAAAAGCTGTCTTTGAAAAGAAAAAAAAAGAAGCCATTTCTGCGCACATTTTTGTTGGCTGATACAAAAAGGGGCCAAATGTAAAGCAATTCCATAATTAAAAATAGCTCAACTCGACGGATGTGTAGACAGACGCTTCATGTCTTCCGAGTGCGTTAATCCGGTTTATCCCGGTTATTTGGGTTGAAAGATTGCCAAAGAGCTTTGAGCCACTGAAACACAGACATGCGTGATTATTGCCTCCAAAGTGAACACAAATTATATTAATACCTTTAATACACAAAGATAAGCTGAGGCCAAAAATAGACTGTCAATACCCAATTAACACTTGTATACCAACAGTAACTTCTAATGGAGATGTTTTAACACTTGAAAATAAAGTGCGTCGTTCAATTCAGTTCTCCTAGGTAGAATTAAAAAAAAAACATAAAAACAACAACATCGACTCGAGTCTCCCTTCACGGATCTATTCTATACTTAGAATCTCAGAATAGAATCTGATCCAAAAATTAGAAAGTTCTGGCAAAACCCTTAAACAGCAAAGATGTCGAAACTGTTTCGTTCCTGTGAAATCTACCAAGCGTTTATCGTCAGAAAGGATATCACTGCTTCGCCTGAGACAAGTGTATTGAATGACGTTACGCTCCCTTATATAAACATTTAAAGGAGCTATTTTCTCGTAGCAAAACACTCATAAATCACTGACCGGCTACTAGAATCTTCGGTCAACTAGAATCATACAGAAAGCGTTAAGAAGAACACTCTACAGCCCTAACCAGATAGACCCTAAATTGATCATGATAAGCAATGGCGAAAAACCATTGTGCTTCAAACGAATATAAGAAAGGAAAAAATAGACAGCACTAAAGACGTGAGGGATCTATTAGACGACAGATCCGGATTTGGATTGTATTTTTTATAATTGAATTAACTGCAAGACAATATAGCAATCAAGAACATAAACCAAACTAGTGCCACAGCTTTGCACGGAACACCTATTTGCGTTGATTATTGCATGAATCACAAGAATAAATGTACCTCCTGGTGAATTATTTTAACTCGTTTCTGTTAAGTTCACGTAAACACTCTCTAACGTCGAATGATAAATTTAATAGTAGATATTTTTAGAATTCAATTACGATAGCAGGGTATTCATAAAAGTAAATACAATTCTTGAAGCCTTCCGAATCGGGATTTTACTTTGAAGTATCGCCAACATGTTTGTCTGGTTGTTGAATAACGTAACAATAGTTACGCCGAGGATAAAATTTTCTTCCAAACTAGGACAACGCGTATGAAACAAAGCTCCATGGGTTGCTGTACAAGTTTTAGAGTAATACGCATTCGCGTTAAACCGATAACTATTATCAAGTGGTTACGGTGTTACTTATCATCAGTGATAGTGAGCTAAGTTTTTGATCAAGTGCATGGAACGTTTCCCAAGCCTTAATCCCCCTCATTTTCCCAATATAACACATTCTATCGCATGTACAAGCTCTAAGTTTTCTTCGCATATCAACTCTTCGTGCGCTAGTGCCATTATCTGCGAAACTGAAGGAATACTGTCAACAAAGAAACTCTCAAAATGACCGGCAAAGAAAACAGACGCAGAGAATGATGAATCAAGAGATCCTTTCAAAGTTTGGTAGTAGTGGGGGGTTGGAAGTGTCGGGCTAAAAGCACTAAAGTCATTAAACCTCTCCTACAAAGAAATATTCCAAAAGTGCTTTGCGTGAGTACTAACAAGTGACACATCACTTTCACCTTTTCATCAGACTCGCGGTCTTACGCCAGTGTAAACAGTTAATTAACACACTATCGTGTATGTAGCCTGTTTTCCGACATATAATCCATTAAGATGAATTCTTACACTCTAGACAAACAACTGAGGGTCAGGGAACTTACGTTCGTGCCTACTCTCTCGGTAATCCGCTTTGTGCGAATATTGTCTTCCATTGAACAAAAAATTTCGATTAACAAGCAGTATCATGTGCTATTTATAGAACTTGTAAAAGGAAATTTATTGTTTTCCTTTACTACTATTTGTTCGAGACTTAGCAGCACGTATGGCAAAACTACGACCTTAAATCTGAACTCATATTAAGCTCAAAATATTTAATGGGCCTTTTGACGCTAAAATAATCAACTCTCATTCGGATTTTTTTAAAGGAATTTTTCAGTATTTTTCCAATTAATATTCTAAGCTGTTACATGTAATAGCTCTGGCGGCTTTTAAGATTAAATGTGTTCACCAACTTGCTAGGACTGAGTCAAGAAATATCAGACAACTCAGCACTGACAACTAGTGATGCAGTTTTCAAAAGTATCCGATATTTCAGGAGCTGCATAACCAGAAACATCTTAAAGAAAAGCGAAAAAACATCGAAGTAAACACTAAAAACCTAAAAGAAGTACGGATCAAAACTGGAAAAAACGACCGCATCAAAGTAAACTTTATTTGCTTATAAGGATCGCCTACATTCTAAAATTTTCTCTTTCGTTTAGAACGCACAGTTGGAGAGTAATGGCAGTTATCTAGAATAGTGTGACCTATCCCTTACGCTGCTTCTTAATTTTAATTCATACATAACCTAAGGGTTAAAGACAGTACTCCGAAAAAAAATCACTTAAGGCTCAGTTTCGACGGTTTTCAATTCCTGACACTAACTACTTTATGCAGTATCCGTTTTTCAAGTTGGGTCTTTGAAATCACCACTTGATTTCAGATCCGGCAGACCGTTGCGTTGTTGTAGCTCGTTCTTGGCTTTTTGCTCTCTTGATCGTTACATAAAATTGGACGATTTTGGTTATGAACTCTCATGGTTTCCTTGAATAGCACATTCAAACGGTTGTGGTTACCCCATTCCGCTCCACAAGGCACGATCTCTACCTTCTAGAACAGATAAATGAAAAACGTATCTTCTAAAGGCTGCTGTGTACAAGTGCTTGACGACCCCCTTTTAAATCAAATGAACAGAATATTGGCGAAAAGTGGATTTATGAAAAAAAGAAAAAACCTGAAATTTGTTGTTCAAGGCACATTCTGAATACTGTGATCATTTTTGAAGCGTACAAACTTGAGTATGGAATGTGACAGTTTCATATAAGTTTGGGTTAGGTTGGCCTGGCTTTTTCAGCAATTAGAGTATTTTGTAGCATCACGTTATCGGCGTAAGCTCCAGGATTAAAGGAATTCGAAAGGACTTTTGGGTGGGCTTGTCTCACTTTGTCGTGGTTTACTTAAATGCAAGATCATGGTTAAATCCCAGTTCCAGTTCACAGGGTTAATCAAGGCTTTTCATTTCCCTTGCTATTTGACTAGACAGTGAAAAACAAAATCGTGATGTGTTCTCTTCGTGTACTCATTGTGTTCTGTTCAATGTAAGAGGCCAATGAGCGAGGATGCTTGTGGAGCTAAGAATACCTTTTGGGCGGCGTTAACACAGATTTCGACAACAACCGGAGGGCTTATAATTTATATCATACTTTTCGGGTTTCAATATAGAGCCCCACAACATCAACTTGGTGACAGACCTGCAACACCTATGTAACAAACCACAACCAATAAATAATCCATCTATCATGGCATGTTATCGGACATCAACATATCGACATCGAACTCGCAATTCATGACAGTCAATTCGCGGAAGTACTGACCTTGGTTTATGGACGAACTATTTTATCGCTTACATTAATCTCCGGCTCGGCTAAAATATGGGCTGATTCCGAAGCATTATCACCCACGCGAAAGCCACACGACTCCAATAAACCCTGCTAATCCATTCAAAAATCACAACAACGGTTAAAAAATACAAGCTTAACGCTTAGAAAAATATTCATGGCGCCAAACGAATTGATCCATTTAAGACGTTAAACTCATATGCAGAAGCATCTTAGACTCCAAGAGCCTTATGCTCAGGTCGTATAGAAGTAACAGCAAGTGAAGAGAGAAAATTACTACATCTTTAACCGACTTGTCTCGGAGCTGATGGGTGTTAAGAGGATCTGGTCGAGAAAAGGAAACTGCCAAATGGCACCAGCCAACAATAACGAGAATCAATGAGGATTAAGTGATACAACGATGGAGATTTCTAATAATCTGCCTCCATCAAATGAGCGATATGCATCGCAGTCAGCTTAAAATTCCTAATCGACATAATTTGCCACCTTCCAATTCCATTTTTAGACATTGAAAGTCGAAGGGTATTTCCTCTTCTGTCATGAATCAATATAGCGCCGTATTAACTTCTTACATTCAGTGAAAAACCTTGAAATCGAGATAATGAAATGAGACAAATCTTTCCCTATCCTCACTTCGCAAACATTACCTCTCCTACTTATTTCGCTGGGAATAGCTACTCCAAGCTACGCGCGTTTTTTCCAGCGTAATTTGGTTTCCACAACTTTTAAGCATACGGTAGGCGTGCGTTGGATCATAGGAGTTCATAGATAGTGAAACTGAAACAGTTTTAATAGGAACACTAATGAACATTTCTTCTCTGGG